TAAAGTGGCACATCTGTACAATGTATAGAACATGCTGCAGCAAAACTGACATTTCTAAAGAAAAAAATGACATTTAAAAAAGAAAACACCAGACCCTTGATCCGAGCACTAGACATGTGTGAGTCGTTTCGAATCGAAATTCGGACGAACTTTTCGGAAATTCGGATGTATCCGAATTCCAAATTACAGATATTACGAATGCAAACGAATCCGAATTTACGATTCCGAAATTCGTTAGTCGTAGTCTGTACGAATGTTTGTTTGACGAAATTTCGTTGCAGCAAAGTGACATTTGAGAAACAAAAACTTTTTTTCCCCTCTTAAATGTCACTTTGCTGCAACGAACAAACGAAACGACATTTAAATGAAATTTCGTACAGACTACCGCTAACGAATTTTGTCCCAATCCGAATTCCGAAACGAATTGACTTTCGGACCCGAATCCTGAAAAACTAAATAACGCAAAATCCGAAACGAAACACATTTTTTGCTGGTGCACTTGTCTACCGAGCACAGGCCTGGCAGGGCAGGAAAGGGGGCGGGGGACACGAGCAAACCCCCCCCTCCTCCCATACCAGGCCACATGCCCTCGGCACTGAGAGGGTGCTTTTCCAGGGTCACCCCTGGAAAAGCACATTGTTCCCGTGCCGATGGGGACAAGGGCCTCTTCCCTCACAAGCCCTGGGGCATTGTTTGTGGGGGTGCGGGCAGGGGGCTTATTCACATCAGGGTACCCCTTTAATAAAGGGGCACCCAGATGTGCCCCCCCTTGTGAATGAGTAATGGATACTTGTACCCCTACTCATTTACTAAAGGGTTAAATAAACTTGTAATAAAGAGGCCAGACTTTTGTAAAAACCCTTTATTTGAAACAAAATCAAAAGACATTTTTTTGACAAGTCTTTTTTTTTTTTTTAAACCCTCAAAAATGGATCCACCGATGTAATCCAGGGTCAATCACGACGTCCAGCGTTGTCCATGACGGCGACAACTCGACTAAATAGAAAATAGAATGGCATTTTGACAGATGCCAGGAACATATAAACAATTGGGCGGAGCTAGCGGTGACAGCTAGCTCCGCCTAACTGTTTACAGTTGTAGGCATCTGACAGGTGAGCCTTGTGCCTTTAAGGAGGTTGGGCTGCCTCCTGGCGAACCTGCACCCAGTTTATCTTTTGTTACATATGCTCCAAGATGGAGACTCTCATAGGTTAGAGTTAGGACAGCACTACACAGACTGGTTTTGGAGCGGCTGTCACATATTCTGCAGAAGACTTGTATCTAAAATCTCAGTTTTTAACCTTAGCGGTTAGACAGGTTTTTTTTTTTTGCAGGCTGGCTGGTGAGTGTGCTGGGAAACCTTTTGCTGTTGCACTGTGACAGTCAATCACAGCAGTCACCTGATCAGGACTCCTCTACTGATGTTAAGAGCCATTTAAAGTGTTGGTGGGATTCATTCCTAATGTAAACTAAGAACAGTTGCTCTGGGAGGACAGAACAAGGTTATCTGGGCTACTGAAAGATAAGGTTTTTAGTCCGTCTCCTGTAAACGCTCAAGGATGAGTTGCTTCAGAGTGCCTTCAGCTACAGAGGTCAGTTAAGGTTATTTAAAAGTTCATTGACGTGAATGTTCATAGACAGGCCACAGGTTCACTTTAAGGGATAATCAAGCTATTTAGTATTTATTATAGAACTGATCTCTATATCATTAACATCTCCCATAACACTGTACAGAGTAAGGGTTAGAAGCAAAGAGTTGGATGATAACATATACTGTATGTAGTAAACATTTGAGCAAACAAAATACACCAGAAATCAGAGCTTTGCTGAGTCTTCATACTTTTATGGTTCCTAGAGAATTCTTTTTTGGTAATGCAGGGAAGAGTTAGAACCTCTGTCCAATTATTATTGCCATTGTGTACATGTTCCTGCCTGGACAGGAAGTCATGGGAAATCTCTCCATGAGGGACAAAGACAAAATCCCATTTTTAGTAGAGTAGAAAGGGGTTAGAACTATTTATAGTAGAAGTGTAATAGGGACAGGAAGTGAGGTAAAATCAGTGGTGTCACAAGCGGGGTGCGGCCCGCACCCGGGTGACACCATTGGAGGGGTGACACCAAAATGATGGTCATTTTGGTGTCACCCCCCCTCTGAAAAGTCGGGCACTCGGTCAAGGACCGAGAGCCCGACAGTAGCTCGAGAGAGGAGGGGACCCAGCGGCATACCTTATCCTGCCGGGTGACGTCTGGACGCAGGGCTTCGTAACCCACTGGACGCAGGGCTTCGTGACCCACTGGACACTAGACATGTGCACCGGCAAAAAAATTGTTTTGTTTCATGTTGTTTTGATTCGGATTTTGCGTTATTTCGGGATTCGGACGAAATTTGTTAGCTGTATTCGGTACGAATGTTAATTTCCGTTTCATGTTCGTATCGTTCGTTTCATTGCAGCAAACATTTTTTTTTTTTAAATTGTCACTTTGCTGCAATGAAAATTCGTCCACAAACGAAAATGCGTACAGACGACCGCTGACAAAATTTCGTCCGGAAAACTAATTTTTCCAAAACGAATCGCACATGTCTACTGGACGCAGGGCTTATGGTTAGTTCATACCATAAGCAGTGTGCTCCGGTCCGATTATGGCCAGAACGCACTGCCCGCATTGCGGCTGGCTCACTTTTTTGCCAGGCTGGAGGGGGAGTGGCGGGCCATTATAGTGAATGGCACCGTAGCCACGCCCTCTGACTGCAATGCGATCACTCTTTGACTGATATTTATTCCGTAATGCAATGCTGTACTGATATGAATTTTATACCATTTTTTGGGGACAGACAGAGCTTTCTTTTGGTGGTATTATTTACAGTAATCACCAATGCAGGTTTTATTTTTTACTATATTCAGGAAAAATTACTGAAAAAGTTTTTTTTGCATTATGTTATAAACAATTATTATTACCCAATTTTTTGGTAAAATATAAAAGGCAGGGTCACGGCGGGTAAAAAATTGCACTCACCCGCGAAAATTGCAAAAAACTAGCATACCCAAAATTGACCATAGGCGATGCTTTAAAAGCTTTTACAGCTCATCAGTTTCGTGTTATCAGTGATTGATGGCCCTAAAATTATTGCTCTCACTGCGACGTTCGCGGCGATATGTAACATGTGCGGCGTAATGGGCGCAATCGTCGTTTTCACAGGTGTGCGCACCTGACGCATGTTTACATGCGTGTATGTAGGGGTGGGGACTTTTTTAAAAAAAATTGTTTTTTTTAAATTCTTTTTTCTGTGTAACTTAAAAAAAATTTGGGGAAACTTTAATTTTTTTAATATTTTTTTTTCCACTTAACTTTATTGCTATCACAGAGGGGGCTAAGAAACCCCTCTATGTAATAGCAAAAGATATGTCAGGTCCTCTTTATGGAGACATCAGGGGTCTCCAAGACCCCTAATGTCACCTAGGACCCCCCTGAAGAAGCTGATGAAGCAGAGATCTGCTTCATCAGCTTCTCTCCAGCATCTGAAGCTGGAGAGTGCCACGAGAATGCAGAAGTGATGTAATATACAACACTTCCGCATTCTGACAGCGGAGAGGGGACCAGAGGGAGGTCGTGAACCGACCTCCCTCTAATCCCATGTCAGAGAGGCACTATGCTGGTCCCGGGCACAGCAGAGCCCGGGATCAGCGTGACAGCGGGAGGGGGGGAGCCGCGGAGGAGGGGGGCGCACATACCGGGACCTCATACAAGCGATCCGCCGGCTCTATAGCCGGTGGATCGCTTGTATGTTAACAGGCATCGCTGCCAGTTTTAAAATTTTGTGTCTTTCCCGCGCACGCGCGCCGCGCTCGAGTTGACGGGACTAACAGGCCGTGTATATATGGCCTGTTACATCCAGGAAGCTCCCGGTCGGCCATTTATATACAACGGCCGGCCGGGAGGTAGTTAAAGGAGTAGTACCACATTTAGGCACTGCTTTGTAAGAAGTCGATACTATCAATATACATTATATTCAAACTAGGGATGCACCGATATATCGGCTGCCAAAACATATTGACCGAAAATGGCACTTTTGTTTAAATGCCGAAAGTGCATTTTTGTGCCAATACATCGGCGCATCCCTGCTTTCTTTCCTCACCGGTGGGCGCTGCTCTGTGTCCCAGCGGGGAGAAGAGAAAGTGTGGCAGCTGGCCGAGCGCTGCGGGAGGAGACTGTGCTGTGAGCGGCCGGCGTCTCTCCTCCCACACTGCTCAGCCTCCTATCACAGTCCGGCAGAGCGGTGTCACAGGAGGCTGAGCTCTCCTCCCCGCTTCTCTCGCTCAGCCTCCTGTGACAGCGTGTCAGGGTGGAGAGAGAGTGCTGAGAGAGTGCTGTTATCAGTGATTGCTGAGTGTTTGTAGATAATTGAGGCCATGGCATGTTGACTATATCCTCAATTATGAATGAATGGGAAGTGATCTACATCACCTCCTGTTCATTCATGATTGTGGTTATAGTAAACATACTCTGTCCTCATGTTATAAATGAACAGGAACACTCAGAGGATTCCTGTTCATTTATAAAAGGGGCTGCGGAAAAAGAGATTGAGGACTTTTTTCTATTTTAAAAGGGAAATATCAGGGGTCTGTTTAGACCCCTAATATTTCCCCGGAAGCCCCTAAAAGTAAATGGAAAATAAAAATACTTGATAAAAAATGAATAAATAAAAATGAATCTAAAAAATGAAAAAGTTTATACAAATAAATAAAGATAAAATATTTAAAAAATTTAAAAATGTAAAAAAAAAAACATTTTCAGTTTCGGCTTGACAATTTTTTTATTTCGGTTTCATTTCGGTTTTGAAATTTCCATTTCGGTGCACCTCTATATACAACTAATGTAAGAAGTGTATTTTCAGCTAGTTATAGAATTGGGCACATCGAAGTGTTCCTTGCTGTTTCCTCGCATATTCCACCATTTATATTCTCTGCCTGGACACTTTATAACATTGTCACTTTGTTTTGATTTCAGTGTGTGCTTGCTCTGATCCTGAGTACAAGCTATATAAAACCTTGTTTAATAAGTACAACCCATACATTCGACCCGTGGAGAATGTATCCAATCCTGTCATTGTGCTGTTTGAAGTGTCACTGTCCCAGCTAGTCAAAGTGGTGAGATTTTACATTTTTATGTTATTTTGCTTGCTTTTTAAAAATGTATTGAGTGATTAAATGGAACTGAAATGTAACACCACATCTGTCCATTGGATCTGCAATTGGTTGGTCACATACCAAATTCATTGCCATTTGGCCATGTAATCTCTGCTGAGGTGGAGGATGAAAGTTAAGGTCTCCAAGGGATCTTTGAGCATCTGTTTCTTCAAGACAGCAATGTCATACCTCCCAACTTTCTGAGAGGGACACCTTCCAGTATTTAGACAATGGACACACCCCTGCCTCATCCATAGTTATGCAGAGCATTAAGAATTTGTATGCCAAAAATGATGGGTTAAACCCAGAACTGTTTTTCTCCACCATTACTTTTACTATATACTTACTTTTCAAAATAGCAAACAAGATCATTAAGAGATAAGATGAAGGTTATAGTGCAGACTATCACTTTAGGTAAATAGTACATTTATAGATATGTGTACATAGGAAAAAAGGGGGGAATGGGTACAGAGGGATTTGGTTCCAAATGAGGGACAATCCCTCCAAATTAGGGACACTTGGGAGGTGTGAGTATATTGTCTACACAAATTGTGTAGGAACATTTCATTTTATGACAGATGTAAAGGAAATGGGGGAGTATTCCCCATTTATATCCCTATGAGATAATTGAAAAAGTGAGTGAAGTGAAATATAGGGTCAGACAACCAGGAAGATGAAAGCCAGAACAAATATATCATGTAAATCTGTTGAAAGCCTGGAAAGATAGGGAACCCCTAGTAGCAGAGACTTCACCATCACCACCTTAATCTGATTATTTGGTTCCTGAGGTTGGGATAGCAGTCACCTTATCAAAAACCCAACAACAGGAAGTTAAATAATTTGTGCTCCAGAAGAAAGAGGTCTTCTCAGAGCTTCTGGGACAAACATCTGGGAATAGAACATGATATTATCACCCTGCCAGGTGAAAGGGTAAAAATTAGATTCTATCGATTTCCAGAAGCCAGACAAGAGGCAATGCATATAGAAGTCCGGGGAGTGCTTGAACTAGGTGTTCTAGAGGAGTCCCAAAGTGACTGGTCCCATCCCATCGTGCTAGTACCCTAACACGATGGGAGTTGGCACCTCACATCTGGCAAAAGCTCAAGCTGTGCTAGACTCTAGACGGAAAGCTGGGTTTATGGTCAACCCCAAAAAATTTACCATTGGGCAAGAGGAGGCAAAATATATTGGTTATACCATTGGGAGGAGAATAATTAAACCCCAAATAAACAAAGTTGAGGCAATACAGAATTGGCCACGTTCCAACAACAACAAGCAGGTACGAACATTTCTAGGAATCGCTGGCCATTACCGGCGATTCATTCCTCACTTTGCTTCACTGGTTGTTCTCCTGACCAACTTGACCAAGGGTAAGGAGTCTGTCATGATTAAATGGTCCTCAGAAGCAGAAACAGCTTTTCAATCTTTGAAAAGGGCCTTGTGTAGTCAACCTGTGTTATACTTACCTAACTTCTTAAAAGACTTTGTAGTGCAGACTGATGCATCAGATGTAGGATTGAGAGCAGTGTTGTCTCAGGTTTGGAATGGTGGTGAAGAGCACCCAGTCATTTACCTTAGCAGAAAATTGAACTCCCACGAGTTAAACTATGCCACTATTAAAAAGAAAAGTTTAGCTGTGAAGTGGGCTCTAGACTCGCTTAGGTATTATCTGCTAGGTAGACACTTTGACCTGGTAACTGATCATGCTCCCTTAAAGTGGATGGCCCAAAACAAGGAGACCCTATAAGAATTTAGCTTTACTGTAAACCATTGCCCTGTGTACAGACGTGTAATGTGGATGCTTTATCATGGGGTTCATGCTTGCCTGGCTACTTGTATTCCAACTCCAATGTTGAAACAAGGGGAGGCGGGGATGTGACAGCAGGCAGGTAAAATCGCCTGGGTGCATCCAGGATGGCAAACACGTACGTCCCAGGTTCAGGTTATATATGGATTGCTTCCACTAGTGGGAGTACTGGGAGTGCTTGAGTGGTAGAGGTAATGAGCCCAGCTGAAGCAAGCTGGCTCATTAGGACCTTTATAAAAACTTCAAGCCTGCTTAGGGAGTTGCTCCACCCTGGAACCAGTTTTTGTGCCCGTTAGAGTGGGAAGCTTTGTACCTACCTGTGCGGTGAAAAAGAAAAAACAAACTCGTGTGGTGAGACACAGCCTGTGTGGTAGTTTCTTCGGTAGGAAGATAGGTGCTAGAGGCAGCACAAGGTTGCACCTAGTTGATAGTGAGGAAAACTCTGTGTATAGTAAGTTGCCAAGAGGCAAGGGTTTATTTTCATGCTGTTTTTTGTTTTGCTCATTTTTGATTGTAAATAGTGTAAATAAACTGCACATGTGTTTTCACGTAAAGAAATCGTTGCTTGCTGTGCCTATTTATTGTTTCATAAACTCAACCAGGGAGTCACACACACCCGCTGCCAAGCTAACATCTTCACTATATATATACAGTATATACACTAAAGTATTGGGACGCCTGCCTTAATAAACTAGACGTGTTCCAATTATTACTACACAGTTGTAGATTTGCCCTCAATTTTTCTCCTAGTGACAGTTACAAGAAGTGAGAATGAATCTCCTCAATAGGAGTCCCACTTTAACAATGTACATTTTACACTAAAACTATTAAAAACTACTGCTATAGTATAGTATAGTAACTCTTTTCTTTGTGTATGTCCACAGGATGAAGTCAATCAGATCATGGAAACCAATCTTTGGCTGAAACATGTAAGTTCCTAGAAAATCCCTTGAATAAAATATTATTACCCAGCAGGGGTCCAGCTGCTAAATAGCCCCAGACAGCCATAGCAGAGGTCTGGCCAGACGCAGGAGAATGTCATTGTCCTGAGCTCCTTTGAGTACAAAGAGAGCTAACAAGGGGTGGTGCTGACAGTCTTTTGATAAACAGGTTACACAGTATAACATAATTACACCTAACCCAACACCAATACACATATAACAGATAAACTGATGACCATGTCGTCACATAACTCCCCCAAGTTAAAGGATGGCAGACCCGCTGAGACCCTCTACGGGCCCACTTGGGGATATCGATGATGTTACAGTCACTCTTCCAATTCCGTTTACAGAGATAGTCCATCGGCATTAGCATTGTGTTTCCAGAGCCGATATTGAATAGTGAAATTGGACGGCTGTAGGGCCAGGCTCCACCGCAACAGCCATCCATTCAACCAAACAAGGGGGGTCTCCATAATCCTAGGTCCATAGTTGCTGGGAAGGAGGCTGGACGTCAAGGCCCTCCAGGAGCCCAGGTCACGGTGGGTTCTGTGGCATCCCCCCCCCCCCCCAATGGTAGACTAACCAGGTCCCAGTCCCCTAACTGGTCTGAACCTGTGTTAGTCGGGCAGTAAAAATCCCCAAATTCCTTCCATGGGACCCCCTGCCTCTGCTGCTGGGGAGAGATGTCATCTGCGCCTTTCTGAAAAACATGCTGCCTCTGGGGAGAAGTAAAGACGATATCTTCTCCCCAAAGCCACGTGCTGGAAGAGAGGCTGGCTTCCTGTTCTCCCATGAAGGTTGGAACAGACAACAGTGCGGGACATGGACCAGTGGTACTCTGCCCTGGTGCCAGCACTTCTGCTGGGGAAACCACAATCTCAGTTCTGGCTTGCTCTTGGGGTGGGAGGACGGCTTCCTCCTCTACCTGGATTCCAAACTGCTGCTGGGGAGGAAGGACGACCACCTCCTCTCCCTGTATCCCAATTTGCTGCTGGGGAGGGAGGACAACCACCTCCTCTCCCGGACTGCTGACCTGCCACTGGGGAGAGAGGTTGACTACCTCTTCTCCCTGGAACTTCGTCTGCCACTGGGGAGAGAGGTCGGCTACCTGATCTTCCTGGAACTCACTCAGCCGCTGGGGAGAGAGGTCGGCTGCCTGCCCCGTCTCCCTGGAGCTTAAGAGGTGCTGTTGGTGCTGGACAGAGGTCAGCAGCACTCTGCCCTGATGCCAGCTCTTCTGCTGGGGTTAGTAGCTCCATGACATCTGTGGTTGCTGGGGCATGCTGTTGAGCAGTATTGAACAGTCTTTTGTATGCCTGTTCCAGCTTTCATTCTTGAGTAATTAAAGTCCAAATCAGTTCTCAATCCGAGCTCACTGGGGAGTTCCAACTCCCTAAAATCACGTATGTCCTCCCATCTCCACTCCTGTGCACCAAATTGTGTTTCCTCCTGGAGCGCCTCAAATATTAGTCCCGGGCCGCCGAAGTTATAGCCCTCTGTAGGATCATTGTTCTCCAGCCACGGACACAGTTGGGTGGCATACCACTGCAGTGCCCGATACCCATCGTCCAGCATCAGTCCTGTTTGGAGCAGCCCATCCAGCTCCGACAGCCATTCCTCCCGGGGCTGCTCTCCCAGGAAAGGCACACGCAAGTCCCATTGTAGCCAGTATCGTTCCGCAGATGTAGGGAGGAACTTGCCACAATAGTGCTGCTTCAATTGAAGAGTCTCCCTCCAGACCTCCCAGCACAAAGCGTCTCTCCTTCACAGCATGTCCTGGGCAGAACCCGGATTGTCGAACTGGGCCAGCGCTTCCATGGCCGCAGGCAACTGTAGCGCTTCTCCTATGTCAACTGAAAACTTGGTCCCGTTGGTGGTTTGAATGTCTCCTTAGGCAAGGAAGAGCATCCCACCACTTGCCACCAATGTGACGGATCCCGGTATTCAGGATGAGTATGTCCGCCGCTGTATTTTTCCTTGCTCAGGAGATATTGCAACCCGCTGATCTTTAGCTACCAATTTCCCCAGTCACTAGTCGGGACCGCGTGTAGGGTGAAACAAACTCTGATTTATTGAGCAACTGTGCAACCTTTTATACACAAAGTGATCAGATTATTATCCCATCACATCCACCCTGCCCTCTCTACACATTCTGACTGCACAACCCAGCAGGGGTCCAGCTGCTAAAGAGCCCCAGACGCAGGAGAATGTCATTGTCCTGAGCTCCTTGGGAATACAAAGAGAGCTAACAAGGGGTGGCGCTGACAGTCGTTTGATAAACAGGTTACACAGTGTAACATAATTACACATAACCCACCAATACACATATAACCCATAAACTGATGACCATGTCGTCACACCTTGATTGGTGGATTGTTTAGTCCAGTGGTGGTAGTGCCTTCAATAGCTTATTTTTATTTACAATTTAAGGTAATAATTATGCAATATAGTTTCAAGGGCCTTATAAAAGGACAATAACATTTATATCTAGTGCAGTAAAAAAAAAATCAAACATTTTTTTTAACCACTTCCAGGCCGCAATACGTCTGTCTATTACATAGGGTGCTTGTTAGCTCCCTATGTGATAGCAATAAGATTAGTGTAAAAATTAATAAAATAAAGTGTTTAAAAATGATAAAAAAATTAAAGTAACATAAAAAAAAATGCAAAAATTATTTTTTTAAGCACTAAACTGATGTGCTAACAGTGATTGACAGGGCTAGAATTATTGCTCTCACTCCGATGTTCGCAGCGATATGTAACATGTGTAGCATAATGTTCCCTATGGGAAATTTTGGGTATTTACTTTTTTGCGGCTTCACGGGTGAATGCAATTTTAAGGCTTGACATGTTTGGTATCTATTTACCCGACATGATCCCGTCTTTCATATTTTACCAAAAAATATTGGGTATTATATAGGGCTGCGGAAATTAACGATTAATTACTCGATTAATCGTTAATTTTTTTAATCTATCAAAATTAATTTGATCATACTCACCTCTCCGTCTGCTTCCGGGAGTCCCGTCGGGGATCCGGTTACGTCACAGACATCAACGTCACTGGACTCCTCCCCCCTTCCCTTCTTTAGCCGACGGAGCCACTTGGGCCCAGGCCCGGCGCTACCATATAGACAGTGAGAGGAGAGCTGCACTCACAGCCCTCAGCTGTCACAGGAGTTCTAGCACAGTGCTGTGCTAGAACTCCTGTATTGGAGGTGACAGATTCAATAAAGAGAACCTGTCACCTCCAAATGCTATCACACAGGGGCTTGTTAGCTAGCTCCTGTGTGATAGCAATAAAGTTAAGTGAAAAAAATAAAAAATAAAATAAAAAAATAAATAAAAATTGATAAATTATAAAATAAATAAACATTTATGAAAAAATAAGTAAAAAATAATAATGAAAATGATAAAAAGTAAAAGATAGTAAGATTAAAAAAATAAAGAAATAAAAAAATAATTAGAAAACAAAATTCTAACAAATAAAAAAGTGAAAGAGAATCAGATAAATAAAAATGTTAAAAAGTAAATAAATAAATAAAAACTTGCCTACTATAAAGTGACTGACAGTCAGTATACTGGATACATTTTATAATTAAACTAACTCTCTATGTTTTTCTTAAAGTTTAAAAAAAAATAACTTACGTCAGTGCTACAGTTTGAATTTAAAACGTATTTGTGTAAAGTGTGAAGTTAAGTCATGGATTGTTGAAACTAACTAGTGTCGGGTGATTGTATATAGTGTATACCACATTTACCACTGACTAATGCAGACTTGCAATGCAAGCAGATCAGCTAAAAGAAGTTGGATCTGTATGTGCGTTATAATTAATCGATTAAAAAAAATGTGATTAATCAAACATGAAAATTTTAATCAGTACCAGTCCTAGTATTATACTATATTTCTATGCACTAAATTTTTATTTAGTTTATTTTTTCCTAAAAATACTGGTTTGATAAACATTTGCACAAAAACCGTGCGACATAAAAATTGCAACTAGCATTTTTTTTATTCTACAAGGCCTCTGCTTTCAGAACATATATCATTGTTTGGGGATTTGAAGCTGTTTTCTAGCCAAAAAATTATATTTTATCATGAGTGCGCAAATAGTAAGAAAATGCCCTGTACAGCAAGTGGTTCAGGTCTGGTAAAATTGAAAAAGCATATATTTCTTATTTACAATTTCCCACCAGTAGGTCGAGATCTAGGCCACTTTTTAATATGTTTACCATTAATGTTATTTGTCTTTTAAAGGTCTAAGCAGTGGTGGTGAAGTCTAAGGGGGTTATTCATAAAGCTGCCGAAGGCAGCAGAGTGAATAACCCAGCAGAAATTAAGTGAGCCGAACAACGTTCGGCTATTTACTTCTGGCTTGTACGTCTGATTTGAGCCATACATCGGCTAACATCAGCCGTACATCGGCTGCCTTCGGCTGCACTACCATCAGCCGAACATACTGAGCCAAAGTGCAGAAGGAATTTGACTCAGCCGATCCAACATCTTGATCTGTGCCAAAGCTCCGGCAGCTCACTCGCTGCCGTTCTTCCATATTCTCTTTTCTTTGTCTCTTGATGGATACTCTTCCTTTCCTTACTCTCAATTTATACTCTTCCTTTTCTTCCTCTGCTGATGTATACTCTTCCTTTTCTTTCTCTCTTGATGGATTCATTTCATTTTCTTCCTCTCTTGATGGATACTCTTCCTTTTCTTCCTCTCTCGATGGATACTCTTCCTTTTCTTTCTCTCTTGATGGATGCTCTTCCTTTTCTTCTTACCTTGATGGATACTCTTCCTTTCCTTTCTCTCTTAGGGATAGTCTTCCATTTCTTTCTCTCTTATGGATAGTCTTCCTTTTCTTTCTCTCTTATGGATAGTCTTCCTTTTCTTTCTCTCTTATAGATAGTCTTCCTTTTCTTTCTCTCTTATGGATAGTCTTCCTTTTCTTTCTCTCTTGATGGATACTTTTCCTTTTTTCTCTCTTGATGGATACTCTTCCCTTTCTTCCTCTCTTGATGGATACTCTTCCCTTTCTTCCTCTCTTGATGGGTATTCTTCCTTTAATATCTCTCTTGATGGGTACTCTTCCTTTTCTTCCTCTCTTGATGGATACTCTTCATTTTCTTTCTCTCTTGATGGATACTCTTCCTTTTCTTCTTACCTTGATGGATACTCTTCCTTTTCTTTCTCTCTTATGGATAGTCTTCTTTTTCTTTCTCTCTTATGGATAGTCTTCCTTTTCTTTCTCTCTTATGGATAGTCTTCCTTTTCTTTCTCTCTTATGGATAGTCTTCCTTTTCTTTCTCTCTTATAGATAGTCTTCCTTTTCTTTCTCTCTTATGGATAGTCTTCCTTTTCTTTCTCTCTTGATGGATACTTTTCCTTTTTTCTCTCTTGATGGATACTCTTCCCTTTCTTCCTCTCTTGATGGGTATTCTTCCTTTAATATCTCTCTTGATGGGTACTCTTCCTTTTCTTCCTCTATTGATGGGTACTCTTTCTTTTCTTCCTCTCTTGATGGGTACTCTTTCTTTTCTTCCTCTCTTGATGGGTACTCTTCCTTTTCTTCCTCTCTTGATGGATACTCTTCATTTTCTTTCTCTCTTGATGGATACTCTTCCTTTTCTTTCTCTCTTGATGTATAGTCTTCCTTTTCTTTCTCTCTTAATGTATACTCTTCCTTTTTTATCTCTGGATGGATACTCTTCCTTTTCTTTCTCTCTGAATGGATACTTTTCCTTTTCTTTCTCTCTGAATGGATACTCTTCCTTTTCTTTCTCTCTTGATGTATAGTCTTCCTTTTCTTTCTCTCTTAATGGATACTCTTCCTTTTTTTATCTCTGGATGGATACTCTTTCCTTTCTTTCTCTCTTGGTGAATACTCTTCCCTTTCTTTCTCTGTGGATGGATACTCTTCCTTTTCTTTCTCTCTTGATGGATACTCTGTTTTTACTGTTTTCACTAAAGACAGATTCTAAAACTTCTTTGCATTACTAAATTGTATGCTGTTTTAAACGTGTAAAAGGCAAAACTGTGTCCCTGCTGGGAAAATTCACCCCTCTGTATGTACTGGTGACCACTGGCACAAAGACAGAAAGTGATGGGAAAATTCCAAATGTTAGAGTTATTATCAGAACAAGAGGTGAGAGAAAATATGTGATGGTGACAACTGTCTGAAATGGAAATTTGCCTCACTTTGGAGAGATTGCTTTTAATTTTCTGTTGCATTGCAAGGGTAAGAAGTGAAGGAAATTCTCTCCAAATACATAAACTTTAAATATTTATTTTCAATAACATTAAATGTTCCCAGAAATGTTAAAAATGTTCTTAGAGCAGCTTCCGTTTATGTGAAATCACATAACAAAGCTGACAAAGCTTATATTTTAGAAAGATGTTCAATGGTTACTCAGTGCTAGGGCTCCCTCTACAGGAATACAGCTGTCCAAAGAAAATGTCTTTCTGATACTAAGTTCATTTAGGAGAAATGCTATAGGAGAAATATGGAGATTGCCATTGCTCATATTGCCCTATAAAATGCTAGTTGCCTGGCTGTTATGCTGACCTTCTTGCTTCCATGCTGTTAGTCCCTGATCTGTAAACAAGCATGTAGATCGGGGTCCTTCTAATCCACTTGTATGGAATTGTATTGTGACTGTACTGTCTCCTCATATTTTGTAAAGCGCTGCACAAACTGTTGCAACTATATAAATCCTGTATTATAATAATGATAAGAACATTTGACTTTTCTCTGACTGTTCTGATCTGCAAATGTCAGTGAAACAAAATGCACTGAAGCCAGTAAGTCACAGAATTAAACCACTGGGTGGCCTTTTGCTATGCACAGCATATTTGCATATTATAGCGCAGGTGGTGCCATGGTGAGAAGTGTAAGAAGGGGGTACAGAGGTGAGTGTAGGAAGAAGGATGCTGGGGGTGCAGAGGTGAAAAGTGTAGGAAGAGGGATGCAGAGAGTGCTGAGGTGAGAAGTGTAGGAGGAGGGATGCTGGCAGTGCAGAGGTGAGCAGATGTAGGGGTGGCCTGTGTAGGAAGAGGTATGCCGGGGGTGCAGAGGTGAACAGTGTAGGAAGAGGGATGCATGGGGTGCAGCAGTGAGCAGTGTAAGAAGTATGCAGGGGAGCAGAGGTGAACAGTGTAGGAAGAGGGATCTAGGGGTGCAGAGGTGAGCAGTGTAAGAAGAGGAATGCAGGGGGTGCAGAGGTGTGAATTATAGGAAGATGGATGCAGGAGTGCAGAGGTGAACAGTGTAGGAAAAGGTATGCAGGAGGGGGTACAGGGGTGAGAAGTGTAGGAACAGGGATTGTACCAGCTGGCAGTGTCAACTGTGACAATATGTATCATTGATCTTAACATGAACTGTCAAGGGCAGGCAGCAGGGGAGCTGCATGCATAGTCAGTACTAGGGAGCAGAGCTGGGTATAAAAGTTATAGTAATGCTATAAATGATAAACATAATATTTTATATTATTGTAAATTGATTATTGTTCTTGCACACAATTACTTGTCAACTCTAATATAAACTTCTTTAAACTCTAGCTTCAATAAACATTTCTTTTTTACTACAAACCTCAGGCCTCCTAAAAGGTTTTAACAGAGGTGAAACTCTTGAAATTGGGACTGCATTAGGCATATAGAGTCAATTTATGTTTGTAGGAGAGGTCCAGAGGGCAATAAATCTACACCGCTAACATAGGTAGGGAAATTCTTACTGCATAGAGGGACATCTGTGACCAGAGGATCATGAGGTCTGACTTCAGCCTTTCTATGCTAGTTTTTCTTAATGGGGCTAATGTAATTTTGCATTGTAAGTTATACCTGCAGTTCAGCTTTAACCAGTGTTAGTAGCCCTGTCCAGTTTACCCCTGTAAACTACAGAACACCCCCACTATGCTATATAAAGATGAGGAGAGAGAGGGAGCTGTTCTTTAATCCAAATACACTCCTTGTCCTGGAATTGTTGTGTTAGCACGGAAAGTATTTTAATAGCAGGATCACCAATTGTAAATAAAAAAAAGCCTGACGAAAACTAATGGAGCCATCACATCTACTGTAAGGACTGATAAGCTGCAGTATATTGTATTTTTTTCTTGGGTTTAGATACTTTCTAAAGCTGGACAGCCTTCCCTCCAGTCTTGCACAGTTGTAGAGGGTCCTCTACTGAACTGATATTGTTTACTCTGATTTCACTGCACACTGTGAGTTTCTCACGGTGTGGATTAGAAGCTGAAACAAATCAGTTAGATCAGGCCTTATTTCATGGCTGGAGGACATCCAGCAACATTTATCTCTTTCCTGCCCAGTCTGAATGTTCCTGACCTGCCCCTAATCATTTATAGGATTTCACTTCTTTGAATCATGGGGGCTTAGCATCACATGTGGGCATTACCTTGGGCAGTCTGCATGTAAATGTAGTCTACCTAGGAAGGTCCACTCCTCCAAATGGGCACATGCCTGTAAAAGCATGTTTTGATGTTTGCATAACTCTTCTGAAGAGCCAGCCCACTGCTTACATCAGGGCTGAGGACTCATGAAAGGAGTACTGAGGCATGGTGCTGTGATGTTTTCAATAAGCTATGTAAAGTACCCTGCTGACCCAATCTCACTAGCCATGATCTGTCCCCATTGCATGGAGAGGCACAGAAACCCAGCGATGACATTAGTGAGTCTAAAATAAGGTATGCAATAAAAAACAGAAAGATGTAAAAATGTCATTGATTTCCATAG